GGTGGCGGTGGGGGCCTGTCACAGGTGCACGGCTGCGCTGGGTGTTGGACAGGGGAAGGCTGGGCCACGTGAGAGTTGCAGCTTTTAGAGGGCATCACACCGGACATCTCTGGCAGCCAATCCGTGCCTGGGCGTAGCACTGCCAAAAGCCAACCAGAATGTGGGTGTGGCATTCCCCTGACAGCCAATTAGAGCAGGGGTGTGGCACTGCCAACAGCCAATCAGAATGGAGGTGAGTGTGGCAGGCTCTCTGACAGCCAATCAGAGCAGGGGTGTGGCACTGTTGACAGCCAATCAGAAGTGGGGTGACCCAGACAGCAAGTGTGAAAAATCAGGACGGGGGTGGGGGGTAATAGGAGCGTATATAAGAAAAAGACCCAAAAATCGGGACTGTCCCTATAAAATCGGGACATCTGGTCGCTCTCATCAGAAGATGGGTGTGGTATTCTCCCTGACAGCCAATCAGAGTACGGGTGTGACATGAGCATCAGCCAATGAGAAAGTGCCTGTGGGTTATCCCGCACCATAAGAGCCCGTGGGCTGGTGCTCTGTGCTGAGAGAGCCCCCAGAGCTGGGGTGCTGCTCCCTCTCCCCCTCAGACCCTGATGCTGTGCACCTCTCTCGCCCAGCACCCCCTGACGTTTGGTGCAGGGGGCGGCCAGGGTCTAGCAGGATCAGCTGGTTCGGCTCCCGGCTGGGCGAGTGACCTCTGACCTTCTGAGAACGTTTCCCTGTGGGTTGTTAAAAAGCGGTTGGGGGGGGCAGGGATGCCCCAGCCCTATTTTGAAGGTCTTCCAACAAGCTAAGAGGGGAACAGCATCAGCGCTTGGGGATCCCCTAAGCCCAGGGGGGGCCTGGCTGGAATCCACCACCCCAGGCCTGCAGCAGCCGGGCACAGGCGGGAGCTGTCATCACCCGCCAAAAGGCTCCCGCCCTGCAGCCCGGGGGAGCCGTTCGCCAGCGAGCTGCAGATGTAGTTCCCACCTGGCTCTGGTCCGGCTGACTCCTCTGCAGCCAGAGCCCTAGGGTGGGCGTTCCCCTCCCAGTGCCCGGGGGGAAGGGCATGGCATGCACCCCGGGGAGCAGCGAGGGGAGAATGAAGCCAAGGGGGCAGGGTCTCGTTAGTACCCCATGCAGGCCAGCCGTGGGGCCGGCCTGGGACGCTCCCCCCCCACATCCCAGCGCACTCCTGGGGGGATCCTCAGCAGGGCCAAAGGGGCAGAACCCCACTGGTATCACCAGGGCTTGTGCAATGTGCGTCACAGGCACAGCTCCCCCCCCCCGTGCCATCCCCCCATTGCCTGGCCACTCAGATCATTTCCCCGCCCGCCCTGGGCACGCCGGGCAGGCAGATTCCCCCTCCAGCCTCCCATTGCCTGGGGGCAGTTGCCTGTGTCGATCCTACCTCCGCTGCGCCCGGCGTGGCTGCCTGACAGACCTCACCCCTGCCACTGCAGACACCCTGCCCAGCCCCACTGGGACAAAAAGAAGGGGTGACCGGGACCCCCCCACAAAGAAACCCTACAGGCCTAATGCAGCCCCCATCAGCCGGCACCTGTTACCCATGTCCTAAATAGCACCATGCAAGCTGGGGTGGGGGCGGGTACCCCCAGCAATGGCCCCTTTGCTCCCAAGGGGTCTGCTGAGGACAAAGCCCTGTTGCTCTAATGATTGAACCCCCCCGGGATGGGTGGGGGAGCTGAGAGCAGCCCCCAGGCGTCTGGGCGTCGGCAGCGCCTGGCACCAGCTGCTTCCCAGACTCAGCTCCAACGAGGTTTTGTTATTTCTCCTCGCGCCGGATCCGCGGGGCTGCCTCGCCGTCCCCTGGCCCCTCACTGGGATTCGATATCGCCCTGTGTGTGTGTGCGGGGGGATTGTGGAACGGAGCCGCACCAGGCTGCCCCACACTCTCACTTCAACCGTGGACCCCTTCTGAGCCGCCCAAAGATGGGATGGGGCAGGGAATGGGGCACGGGGTCTTTCCCCTCTAGGAATGTCAGCTCCAATCTGACCCCAGAGCAGGGGGCTGGCTGGCTGGCTGGCTTGGGAGGGCACAGGGCCTTTCCCCTCTTGGGAGCTCCGGCTCCAGGGTGGGGGACTGGATGGCTCGGGGGAGCAGGGAATAGGCCCCAGGGCCTCTCCCCACTAGGAGACCAGCTTGATGACTACTCCCACCAGCTCAGTGGCTTCTTGGTGAAATAGTCCTGGGGAACCGGTGCCCCGGGGTCTGGAATCGCCCTGGGGCCTGGTGCCCCGGGATCTGCGATCGCCCTGGGGCCCGGTGCCCTGGGGACCGGTGCCCCGGGGTCTCTGAGGGCCCCGGCAACTGGCACCCCAAGCTGCAGAGTTTTCTTCCTCCATCCCAGAGGCCGCCTGTCCTCCCGGCGTGGGTGTCACTCCAGCCGTGGCTACTGTGAGAGGGGTGGTCTGGCCCTGCCCTGGCTTTGAGCGCCTGGTGCCAAGGCTCTGTACGGTCGGCTGGATTGTCTGGGGGGCAGGGGAGAGCCGGCCCCTGGATTAACTCCCACAGGGCTGTGGCTCTGACACGGCACCTTCCTTCCTAGGTGAATCCCGAACGGTGTGTGTGTGGGGGGTCAGGGACGTGTCCCTCCTGTCCCTGCCCTGGCATCACTGCGACAGTCACACTCAGGGCAGTTCCCCATCGCGCAGTGATGGGCTCAGGTTCCCTGCAGACCCAGGCAGACACATGCCCACACATCCTCTGGGCAACCAAATGGCAGATGAAATTCAATGTTGATAAATGCAAAGTAACGGACATTGGAAACCATCATCCCAACTATACCTATGAAACGATGGGGTCTAAATGAGCTGTTACCACTCAAGAGAGAGATCTTGGAGTCACTGTGGAGAGTTCTCTGAAAACATCCACTCCATGCGCAGCGGCAGTCAAAAAAAGCGAACAGGATGTTGGGACTCATTAAGAAAGGGATAGAAAATAAGACAGAAAATATCATTTTGCCTCTATATAAATCCATGGTATAAATCCAGTATTCATCCTTGAATACCGCATGCAGACGCGGTTGCTCCATCTTAAAAAACATATATTGGATTTGGAAGAGGTTCAGAAAAGGGCAACAGAAATGATTTGGGGGATGGAACGGCTGCCGTATGAGGCGAGATTAATAAGACTGGGACTTTTCAGCTTGGAAAAGTGACGACTAAGGGGGGATATGCTAGAAGTCTATAAAATCATGGCTGGTGTGGAAACAGTGACTAAGGAAGTGTTATTTACTCCCTCTCATAACACAAGAACTAGGGGTCACCCAATGGAATTAATAGGCAGCAGGTTTAAAACAAACACAAGGAAGTATTTCTTCACACAACGCACAGTCAACCCATGGAACTCCTTGCCAGAGGATGTTGTGAAGGCCAAGACTATCACAGGGTTCAAAAAAGAACTAGATAAGTTCACGGAGGATAGGTCCATCAATGGCTATTAGCCAGGCTGGGCAGGGATGGTGTCCCTAGCCTCTGTTTGCCAGAAGCTGGGAATGGGCAACAGGGGCTGGATCACTTGATGATTCCCTGTTCTGCTCATTCCCTCTGGGGCACCTGGCACTGGCCACTGTCGGGAGACAGGACACTGGGCTGGATGGGTCTTTGGTCTGACCCAGGCTGGCCGTTCAGATGTTCTTTAAAGTTTTCCTTTGCAAACCACAAGGGCTAGAAACGTAATTCTGTACGTTTGGTGGATGAACGTCACGAGGCTGCTCTCACTCGCTGATGCCAGGCGCTGGGCCCAGGTCCCAGTGCAGGGCTGTAACCCAGCCCTGCCCCCCATGCCCACTGGTTCCCGGGGCGAATGACATGGGCAAAGCCAAGTCCTGGGTTTCAAGCAGGCGGGGGCGCCTGAAATTACTGCGGCTGCCTCCCTCCTCCCGGCGCATTGTCCGATGATCGGGGTGATGGATGCAGGATCCCTGACGAATGCAAACGAGGCAGGTGCTATGGGGAGGGGTGGGGAGAAACCAGCAGCTGAGTATCCCTGCAACAGGCCTCACGCAGCCGCTCGCTGGCGGTGGGGAGGCGGCCGCGTGCCATGGCTGGTGCAGCAGGTCAGGACGCCTGGGTTCTCTTCCCAGCTCTGGCGTGGGGGACGGTCCTTGCCCTGAGGATGTTCCAGTTGAACGTGAAGCCACACGGGGAGCCCGCATGCGATAGCGTCTGCTCCTGCCTAGGGCCGAGGTTGCCGGAGCTGGTGGCTCATCAGGAGCGAGAACATGCCAGTGGGGGGAGCTGGGAGCCGCTCAGCCAGGCTTGTGGCTGGGCACACAGCTGGGGGTGAACCAGCAATTCTGCCAATGGGCCTGGAGCGGAGCTGGGGGGTAGGGTCCGATCGCCACTGCTCTTCTGGGGGCAGACGGTGGTACAACCACAAGGGGCTTTGGAATCCAAATGTCTGGCTGCTCCCTGCATCCTGGCACATCACTGATGCCAGCGTCCCTCCCCGCACCCCCCCAGGCCTGGTACCACCCCGGGCTCCCTCTCCGGCTCAGTGATCACAGCTAACGAGATGCCGATCGGTGGAGGCCAAGCGAAGCGATTCCAGCTTAGGGTCCTGCCAGCCAATTAGGGCCCAGCAGTAAGTGATGCGCTGGAGTGAGGGCCTGGAGCAGCCGGGCTCTGCCAGCCCCAGACACAAGGCAAAGGGGGACCCCAGCCTGATAGGACCTAGGGGGGAGAGGCTGGGCGTGGGATGCAGGCGCTGGGCCAGGACTCGGAGATCTGGGGTGGCCACCCAGCTCTGCCACTGACTCCCTGGGGTGACTGTGGGCAAGTCACTGATCCTGCCCTGCCTCCCTGGGGCCCTGTGGGGTTAAAAGCCCCTGGACTGTGTCAGGGAAGGTGGCACCCTGGGGAGCTGTCTCTGGTGCTGACCCAGGCCTGGCAGAGGCTGCCTGGATCTGCCCGGAGCCCCGTTCCAAGCACGCAGGTCCCTGCAGCCTCAGCTCGTCCCCCACTGACCCCGTCTCTCGCAGGGTCCAAGTGGAGTTTTACGTCAACGAAAACACCTTCAAGGAGCGGCTGAAACTCTTCTTCATCAAGAACCAGCGCTCCAGTGAGTCGCTCCGGCCGCCCCCAGTCCTGGGGGGGGCGGGGGGGCGGCGCAGAGTCTGGGACGACTAGAGCAGGGTGCGGCCTCCCCACAGCCCAGGCACCACAGCCCGCGGAGATGGATGGTTCTGTGGGTCTGCAGCTGCCGGGGCCCCGAACTGGGTCTGCCTGGGCCACAGGGGATGGGACCGAATCCCAGCTCGGAGTGCCCGGGCACCTCCCATTTCTCCCCTCCAGCCCCATCTCCCTCGCCTCGTGGGCGTTACTCTGTCTGTCTTGGGGCCCCGCTAGCTCTAGCTCGACCCTCAGATGTGGGCTTGAGGCAGGAATCCTGTGTCCCACGACTCCTGGGTTTCTCCCCAACTCTGGGAGGGGCAGCAGAGTCTAGTGGTTAGAGCAGGGAGGCCTGGGCGTCAGGAGGCCTGGGTTCCCTTGTAGGCAGTGGGGGGGGGGCTTTGCCCTTGCAGTCTGTGCTCCCCCCAGCGCGGCGCTAGGGGCTCCGCCCGTCTCACCCGCCGTGTGTGTTTCAGGTTTGCGGGTGCGTCTGTTTAACTTCTCCCTCAAGCTGCTCAGCTGCCTCCTGTACATCATCCGGGTGCTGCTGGACGACCCCCAGGAGGGCCGAGGGGGCTGGTGAGTGAGGCCCCCCCTGCCCCGGCCATGACTAGCTCAGAGCCCCCCAGCTGCGGGCGGCCAGGAGACACAGCCCTATGGGGACCGGCAGCGCCGTGCTGGGAGCCGCACAGAAAGGGTGGGGTGGGCACGGGCGCCCCCATGGGCAGCCCCCACGTTACCCAGAATGCTCTCTGCCGCGGGCACCGCTGGGTCTGCTGGCTCGGCCCGGGGCTCCAATCACCCCACCCTGCACGTGCCGGGCAGGAGAGGCTGTCTGAGCACCCTTGGCACAGAGATCACAGCGGGCACCCCGGGGTGGGTGAACAGAAACCAGGGCCGGCCCGGTGAATGGAGACGATAGCCAGGGGCTCAGAAGTCTGTCTATCTGTCTGTCTCCTTCTGCTTTTCCAGCTGGGGCTGCCCCAGGCAGAACCACTCCGCTCACCACCTGAATAAATTTGACTGGTAAGTGTCTGGAGGTGCCAAGCCGGCGGGGCCAGGGCTGGGGAGCACTGGAGCCTGCCCTCAATGTGGCTTTTCTCTTCCAGGACCCCGATTATCTGGGTGAATAGGCCTCTGCCCCTCTGGGGGCTGCAGGTGAGTGGGGGGGGTCCTGCAGGGGGAGCAGGGGGGGACTGGAGCGCATGGGGGTTAGTGACTTGTGGGGGCCTAGGAGTCTGTGTCCTAGTATTGGGGGGGTTGCCTTGGGGGTGTGATGGACACATGGAGGGACCCCCCCACTGGGAGGGGACTGAGCTGGTCACACGGGTTATCGAGGGAGGTGGCGTGTCGGCAGTTTCACCAGCCTCTTTCCTCCCAAAGGATCCCAGAGGTTGCTTCTCTGGGCGCTGACATGCAGCCACCTCTGGGGTGGGGCGTGGTCACCTGGCAATGTTTAACAGCCGCTAGGCAATGCTGCACACACAAGGGGCAAGGGAACAGAGCTGATCCCAGGCAGCGAAGAGCAGAAGCCAGGAAGGCCCAGGACTCGGAAGCCCCAGCCAGCCTGGGGTTGGGGTCGGGGTTCGGGTTGGGGTGGAGAATGACTCACTTTAAATATCTACCCTCTGGCCAAGGGCTCCGGGGATCATTCCGGCGGCGGATGGAATCCGTGACTTCCAAAGACCTCCGTGACTTCAGCACCAGAGGCTGGGAGCTGCAGGGTCCTGCCTGAGGCAGCGGGGCCCCCAAACTCCCAGCCGCCATGGGCATCAGGGGGATCCCCGCAGCTCCCCACCGCCCCTGGAGCTCTGAGCCCCCACAGGTGGTGCCGAAGATTTGGCCATGAGTATTTTTAGTAAAAGTCAGGGACAGGTCGTGGGTAATAAAGAAAAATTCACTGAGCCCGCGACCTGTCCCTGACCTTTACTAAAAATACCCATGGCCAAATCTTCGCCGTCATCCCTGGGCTGCTGGGCCGCCGGCTGCTCGGCAGGAGCTGGGGTCCTCTCCCAGTCCCCTGGGACGCCCGAGGCCGTGCGCTGGTGGGGAAAGCTCCGGGCTCCATGTGGGGCTGGCAGCGTCATTCCCCTACTGACCCCTCCCTCTGTTCCCCACCCCCAGGTGCTGGTGGCTTTGATCAGTTTCCTGGAGACGATGCTGCTGGTGTATCTTGGCTACAAGGTACAACTGGGGGGGGAGGCTGCTCTGTGCAGGAGAAAGCGGGTTCCCCCTCTGCCCCCCCATGCCCCCCTCCCGGGATCTCTGCCTTTCCGCTGCTATCTCCTGCTACAGCGGGGGGGTCCCTCTGAGCGAGCCAGGGGAGGGGGCCAGACTCGGCGCGGGTGTAAATCGATGGAACCACCCTGGTTTACCCCAGCTCAG